GGGGAGAACAGCAGGCTCAGGAATCTCAGTAGGTCTCCTGACCTAGTTTAGAGAAATCGGCCAGGCATATATTCATTCAATAAATACTTAATGGGTGCCTACAGCACATGCTGTGCTAAATGCTGGCTATGCTAGTGAAAAGAACACATACAGAAAAGACCCTTCTAGTGTAGCTCAGCCTCCGGAACCAGACTGCTAGCAGTCAAATCTTAGCTTTTCCACTTGCTGGCCATGTAGTCTTGGGTGACTTACTTATTTTGCACTTTAGTTACCTAAGAGTTGTAGGAAGGACGAAATGATACAAAATAGGTGAAGCGCATGTAACAGTGTCTGATAGACAGTAAGCAACAGTGTAAGTGTTACTGTCACTATTTTAGGAATCAAATGGAAAAAGGTCTGAGAATTTATATATGTAGTTGGCCCTTCATTTCTATAAGCTTCATGTCTGCAGATTTAACTAATCACGTATCAAAAATACTTGAAGAATATGTGTCTGTATATCACAGGTACAGTAACAGGTAGGAAGCTAAAGGACTGAAAAGTGCTTGGGCTAATGACCAGGCATTGAAGTGGTTAACCCAGTACAAGGCAGTGCTGCTACCAAAGTAGTACAGACCAGACTAGAAGTACCTTTGGGGATAGTAGGGAAGGGAATATTGGACACTCCATTTTTCATTGTTAAGAATCATGTTTTTCATAAGAGCCTATAATGTAGTATTATTTTGTAAGAACATATATATATAATTTATATATAATTCATAAAGCATACAGTTCACTAACTTCAATTTCAATTGATTGTACAGCTCAAGGATTTTTAGTATATTCATAGAGCTGTGCAATCATCACTATAATCAATTTTAAACATTTTTAATCATCCCTGGAAGGAAGTCCCCAATCATTACTGGAAACTTCCCATTTTTTCCCCATTTCATTCAGCCCTAGGCTAATCTACTTTTTATCTCCAGATATTTGCCTATTCTAGACATTTCATATAAATCAAATGATACAGTATGTGTTTTTCTGTGATTGGTTTCTTCCACTTAGCACAGTATTTTAAGGGTGTATCCACATTGTCACATGCTTCAGAGCTTTGTTCCTTTTTATGCCTAAGTAATATCCCATTTTATGGACATGCTATAATTTATGCACCAGTTCATCAGTAGAACACTTGGCTTGTATCAACTACTTTTTGGATTTTAGTAAAGCTACCTTGAGCATTTATGTACAAATTATTGGGTGGATTATGTTCTCATTGTTCTTGAGTGTATATCTAGGATAAGAATATAGTAACTCCACGTCTCCCCCTTTCTGGGGGCTAGGAATCAAATCAGGGCTTCAAACATGCCTGGAAGCATTGTATCACTGAGCTACACCCCCAGCCAAAGTTCATTTCACCAAGGAACTTTTTATTGCACCAAGGAATGAACCAGGGGCCTTGTACATCCTAAAAGCATGCTCTACCACTGAGCTTCAGCCCTTGTCTGTTTAAATTTTTGAGGAATTGCCAAATTGCCTTCCAGCAGCAGAACCAGTTTAGACTACCCCTAGATATGTGTGACTTTTCCAATTTGTTCACATTCACTCCAGTACTGTTTCCATCCACCTTTGATTATGGCTATCTGAGTGAGAAGTACTATCTCCTGTTCTGACTTGCATTTCCCTGTTGGCACCTAAAAGGTGCTCCTAATAAGGAGCACCTTTCCATGTGTCTGTGGGCCATTTGAGGATCCCCTTTGGAGAAGTATCTAACTAGATCTGTTGCTCAACTTTTTTTTGAGACAGGGTCTCACTATGTAGTCCAGGCTGTCTTGAACTCACTATGGGGCCCAGACTTGCAGCAATCCTCCAGCCTCAACCTCCTACGTGCTAAGATTATAGGGCATGCGTCACCACGCCAGGCTAGTGTTGCTCACTTTGAATTGCTGATTTTTTAATGAAGTTGTTGGAGTTCCTTAGATAGCCTAGATTCAAGTCATGTATCAGTTACATAACTTGAAAATATTTTCACTCATCCTGTGAGCAGGCTTTTCATTTTTTTGAGGTATATCTTTTGAAGTACAAATAATAAAGTTAGTTTACCTATTTTTTTCTTTTGCCCTAATGCTTTTGGTATTATATCTAAGGTTTTGCTTAACTCATACTCCTGTATTTTCTCCTTGGACTTTTATATTTTTAGGGCTTACATTTCAGTCTTTGATGCATTTTAACTTAATTTTTGTGGATGATAGGCAGTTGGGGTGCAACTTCACTCTCTTACAAATAGATGTCTTACTTCAGCACCATTTGTTGGAAAGAGTATTCCTTATCTCACTGAATACTTCTGACACCTGTGTTGAAAATCAGTTGGCCATAGGTTTATTCCTAGGCTCTCAATTTTTATCCTGTTGATGTATGTGCTTATCCTATTGCCAGTACCATAGTGTGGTTTAGTTGATGTAGTTTTGTAGCAATGTTTGAAATTGGAAAGTATGAGTTTTCCAACTTCATTCTTTGCATTATTTTGGCTATTCTGGGTTCCTTGAATTTCTGTATGCCTTTTAATGAAGGTTTGTCAATTTATGAAAAAATATCAGCTATGATTTTGATGGAGTTGTGCCAAATCTATAAATAAATGTGGGGATTTCTACCATCTTTATAATATTAAGTAGTTTGGTCTCTGAAGCTGAGATTCCTTTCCATTTGTTTAAGCTTTAATTTCTTTTATATATGTTGTTTAGGAAGTAGTTTGGTCTCTGAA